TCAATTGTATATTATTTTGTAATATTTAATATAATAAAATTGTTGTCTTAATAAAAAAATAAACCGAGATAATTTTTACGTATATTCTTCGTGATATAAATAATAATGAAGTTCAACAAACATCTTTCATCTGTCATGGCAATTATCCTTCTCCATACAATTGACAATATTTACATTATTGTTCTAATGGAAAGAATTTATTTAAATAATTCTTACTTTTCAAATTTAATATTTGTAATTTTTGAGTTATACACTACAGAGTTATCAAGTTATCAAAGTACGTGACAAGATCTGTATCGGGCATTACACAAATTTGACAGCAGAAAGATTTAACAAGTTTAACATTAAAGAAAAACAAGAGAATGACAAGGTAATTGTACTATGTTCTACATAGAAAGAGCGTGTAANTTTCTTTTAATTTAAGAAGAGATCGTTTATCTAAAAACTCGTTCGGAATATGGAATATCAATCTCAATCTCGATTATCATATAACGTTTGCGTGACATTTCTAAATATATTATTTCTGTGAATGTAAAATAAAATTTATTAAGCTTTTTAATTATAAAAATTAAAAATAAGATAGTGTAAAGTACAATCACACAAACAAGGGACGTAGAATGTTAAAAATTCTCGTTCATCACTGGAAGTGGATACTATTTAAAATGATCTTTTCTGACGTCAGAAGAGAATATAGAACTTACGTTCTTAAAACGATAGTGAAGTGGTCAAGTACGAGTACAAACAACAAATCATTCACTGTTATAAGCTAAACAATGGTAAAGGGCAATCTGAATGATAATAACTTCAAATTACTATTCATTGTAAATGTTTTAAGTTGGTCGGGCGATAAACATTGTCTGCAGTTTGGAATTTAGGTCTCGCGCATTTGAACTGCAACTTGGGCATAGCCAATCTTTCCGTATAATTCCTATAAACAGGTGCCTACTCTAATTTTTGTAAGAAAAATAATGGTTTTAATAATCACAAATAACTTAATAGTCTCTTACGGGCATAATCTTAGAAATGCCTATTTTTTTCTTTTCTTTTTTTTCTTTTTTACTGTTCCGTTTGGAAAATCATCTGTGAATGGTTTTGTGCTAAAAATATGTGAGGGAATGTCGAGAGAGAAATTAGTTTATACATTATAGTGTTTTGGTATTAAATGATTAAATGTATTTTGAGATCTTTCTAAACAGATATTCTTTATTTATAACCTATCAACAGAACATTAGATTTTTTTTTCTTCTTTTTTGAAAATTTGAATAGTGAAAGTGAATGGTATTTAGGGCAACCGATTACCTATTCTATCTAGAAAATCCGCAGTTCTTTTGTGTTTTAAAGAAAGAGGACAGCTGTAAAGAACATCGCAATTTTAAGTCAAACTTTATAAAATTATGAATAGCCTAGCTGCGGTTTTACTGTAAATGACTATATAAGAAGCATTAATGATAAGCATTTGATCAAAAGATATTAAAATTTTTTGGTGTAAAATCTTAACTAATTTAATATCAAATATTAGGTATAAATTAGAAATAATTACCATTAAAATTAATTATTAAAACCACATTTAAATAAAGTAATAATTACGAATATCTTCGTTTGGAGCTCATGCCTTATTTTTTATATTTTATTACAGTAAAATCCGTTTTAATTGTTAATCTTAAATTTAAAAAAAGATTATTACGTTCTATAATTTATTATTTCCTACTTTTTAGAAAATTATTTAAAATATAATCTTTGTTCTCGTTTGGAAAATATCTAATTTTCAATTCTTTACACGAAATTTTAAGTACTATTATATAAGTACGTGTGTTCCTTGTATTTTTCATTTGTTATACCTTTATCTTCGATTACAAAGAATAATAAAAGTTATAAAATTAAAAATAAACAAGAGTATATCACGAATACTATCCTTTCTGTTAGATTTGGTTTTAATTTACCTGTAAAATTAATCTTGTTTGGATACTTTATATGTTATATAATTACTATTTTTATATAATTTAATACCTCTTGACTATATGCACAGTATTAGAACAATGTTTTTATTTATTTCTAATAAAAATATCAATACTTATTAATCAATATAATAATATCATATAGGCCTATACTGGTATATAGCATTTGAAAATATTATTAATATTCATAAATATCAATAAATAAATAAATATAAATATATGTATTGTTTATTATTATATAATAAATAAACAATACATATATTTTTTGCATTTGAGCTTATTTATTCATTTGTTTGCATTCATTCTTTGTAAAATGTGTTATAAATTTGTATTCATAACAAATTTTAAAAAGATTTAACATGGATCCAAGCATTAATTTCTTCTAAGATTTATGTTTATGTATAATTTATTTAAATAGTTAAAACTTTCCTCTGTATAGTTACTTAACATTCGATATATGTCTATTTAGATAAGTCTTTGCGCAGGAGGTAAACATTTAAAGATATTCAGTTACAAACCTGATTAGATTGACTTTGCTAATAAACATCAAGTTATAAACGGATTTAAATATAAAAATATTTGCTTTTAATTCTAAATTGTATATAAAAAAAATTGATCGTAATAAAAACAAATAATATTCTGTACGATATTATTTTTCATTAGTATAAGGCATATTTTATCGTGTTTCGATTTTACTTTATGAGTAACTTAATTAATATAATAAATAAAGTTAATTAAAATTACATCTGACATTATTCAAATATCATCTACAAAATGTTGTTAATTTAATTAAAACACAAGCCATTACATTAGCTTCAAAATTTTTTAATTAGATAGCAGTTAATACGATTAATTGTTAATTTATAATTATCCGAAAAAGTATATGCTGTACATGTGCTTTTACGTTAATTATATTTCGTATATTGACAGTTATTCATAATTTTGATCCAGATCGATGAGTTTTCACATATGTATCAACAATTGCGCTTGTTTTCATTCTATAGTCTCTTCTTTTGATAATAATTTATTGACAACGCTGAAAAGTTTTGAAAGATTGTTTATTCATAAATTTAGGCCTAATATTTTTGAACAACAAGCAGACAAATGTACAGATGGATAATGAACATTTCCTGTTTTGTTCTAACATATGATATAAGTGTAACTATCACCAAGTTTTTTTATTAGCTTCCGGGATGCTGCGTTTCCGTATTTATATCCAATTTTAATAGCTAAAATTAAAGAGAAAAATTAGATAAGTAAATGGATCTAATACTTATAAAACAAGATTTTTAAAATAATCTTTATTATGTAAGAATGTAAACATTAAAAAATAACGTTTCTCTTTTTCATAAAAGTGTAAAGAATGTAACAAACTGTTATTGTTATCTTCTAACGCAAATTAGATTATTATTATTATTAATAGCTTATTAAAACTATTTAAATTCATGGGAATTAATGTAAGAAATCAAATGATTGATATTGATTTGTCAATTAATGATTGGCTTAGCTTGTAAAAGATCAGAATAGATGAATGAAGCAATTATGCGATGATTGATGATGACAATTATGTTCCTGACATATGTATCATCATTCCTTGCCTTTACAAAAACTTTAATCAAAAGTATAAAGTTTCCGTTATACTGATTATGATCTACAACCATTCATTTCTTAAAAGATCATTAAAATTTAAAAGATCGTGCATCAAAATTGATATTTATTAAATATACCTAATTTATCATAAAAAAATAGTGAAAAAAATAAAATGAATATCAATATTTGACTATTCTAAGTTGAATAATCATTCTGTTGTCCTCTTTACACTTCATTTGCTGGCCAAATGTTGCGTGAAGGATCGAATTGTCACGTTGGTTTCAGTCCTGCTGATTGGTGATACTGTTGCCGAGATGTCACACTCAGAGGTCGATGACCGTCAGCTTTGGGTGAGTTTTGGCAAGGGGGGAAGGAAAAAAAGACAAAAACAGAAGGCAATAGATAGTTACACTGTTACCATCGTCCTAAAGGTTATTGAGTTACACTTTACGCTAACAATAAAAAAAATCTTGTTAAGTCTACTTAACACTAATGTTATTAACCACCTATAAATATTTAAAATTGTCATTTATTGTTTCAGGACGTTTTAACTATTTTATCCCGTTTATTACTCCTTAATAATGTAAAAATGTGATATAACGATCTATATTTAGTTAATTCATTTTTATTTTATTTACATAAAATTTAAAAAAACTATAATAATCCGTTTATATGTAATTAAAATATATCGCTGAAATAATTCTTAATTAATAAACTAATTAAAAAATTACTTTTTCTCTGTTCGAAAATTTTTAACAAAAAATAATTTAATATGAAAATAGTTATTATTATTTATTCAATATGGAAATAAGTTAATTAACACATTTAAAATGACTGAATAATTTCAAAACGTAAGTAAATAACTTTTTCTCTTCTTTTTTTTTTTGTATCTTTGAGTTAGCATCTGGTTATTGGATACAACTCTGCTAAAACAAGTTCATAAAAGCAAAAAAAAGAAAAAAAAACGATTATTCATGGAAAAAGTAGTGGAAGATATTAAGTGAAGTGGGTGTTTAATGCATGTAAAAAAATCAAACCATCAACTTTTTATAAATAGATCCTCTGTAACTAACGAAAATGCCGAATGTTCACTCATCCTTAAAATATGTATTACCTTGTAGGAAATCACTTTTTAAGTTGTCAGTTTCCTTTTGAATATGTATGCTTGTAACTAAATTATTTTCTTATTTTATAACTGGAAAAAAATGTAACATTAAAATCTACAGAAGAAATTTTATTAAATATAAATTAAATTATTTAAATAATTTCTTTTTATATTTAAAGTTAATAAGATTTATATGTAAAAGGAAAATTTGAGAATTTGATATCTATTAACAATTTAGAAGAAAAAAATGAATTGATAATACAAAAAAAAAAATTGCGGTTGTTGTCACAATAACTCGATTTCCGTTTGCGTTTGCCTTCGTAACACTAAAGCTGTACTGTACACTCATTTCTTACGTCACAAACAAAAGTTTGAATTGTTAAGATATTAATAAACAGATCCAAGTTCTTTACCCTTTATCAGTATCTTGTTAAAATATTCTTCAAGTAGGTCTTTAAGCATGATTGAACAGCAATGAGACTATAAAATATACAGTTAATTTTAGTATCCCGAATAGATCTATTCTTATAAGAAAATTTTCAATCGCAGTTAATAAATTATAAAAAGAAAAAAGAATGTAATATATATATTTTTCGATTTCTAATCTGATTTTACCTTATAAGAGTTTATTTTTAAATTGCTATAAAAGCAAACAATGATTTATTAATTTTCATATTTTTCTAAACAGAATTTTTTTCGATTTTATTGTTCTTTAGTCGAAGAATCTGTTATTGTTTTATAAAATCGGGAAAAGTAAATGAATAGAAATGAAAATAAAATTTGCTCCGAATCGAAGCGGACTCGCCAATAACCTACTGTAAAACAGGTAATCACTTTTCACTTGACTGAATTGTGCTACAAACCGACATACATTAATATCAGAATACAAACAATTGTATCCTGTAGAAATAGCAGTTCAACCAGAGCTACGTCCTTCAACGACCTCTAATGACAACTGAACCAACTATTCCTTAATTACGTCTTGCGTGGCAACACACGAAACGTTGTCTCGAGTCGCTCACTTGCAAATTAAATAGTTGTTATTCGGTTTAAAAATAAATCCATAAAGGAAATTAAAAATAAAGTGAGATCGTTTTCAAACTGTTACAGACTTCTTTTTGCATCGATATTTTTAAAACTTAATAGAAATTCTTCGACAAGGTGCGTGCAAGGTATGTTCTTCCTTCATACGTCCGTCCTCAACCTGTCTGTGCCTGCGTTACGTCATACTTAGGCCACTGTAACTAACTATATGGTCACGGTCTACATCACGTGACATACACACGTGCATTTTAATACCACAAATTTAGAAAATAAGAAAAACTGTAACCTCAATTTTTTTTAGAAAGTATTTTTGATTGTTAGGTGCTAAACTGCGATATTGATAGAATCTCGCCCAAGATGGTTTTTAAAAGATTCTATTTTAGTTTAACTATCGTTAGAAAAATAAATAACAATTTTAAACATAAAAATAAATAAATATATATATATTTTTTCGTTGTTAAAAGGTTTTACTGTTGCCATTAAGGGAATTAAGATTTTAAACCGTCATTGCCTTATCGTTACATTTGATATTTTTTATAGCTTCAAATTAAAATATAAAATATACATTTATTATTTATTGATTTAAATGGGAAAGATCAAAATAAAAAATCATTTATCGAATTATAAAAATTATGAAAATTTATTATTGCGCGATCTTTAACCTAATTCCTAAAACCCATAAACTTGTTTTAACCAATCATTAGACTCCTTTATAGATCTAGTTCTTCAAAATCATTTTTAGTTTAGATAATTTCATTTCTTGTCTAACTAGTAACTCAAAAAACAGAAAGAAAAATATCCGAACAGATCTTGAAAGTTATAACCATATGAACCGAATTTAAACTTTTAATACCTACACAACAGAAAACTGATATAATCACTAATATTTTTAATTTAATCTCTGTACAAGTCTTCAATTTTTTATGCTAAATATTCCTAAATAATTCCATTATAATGTGTATAATGAAAATCTAAGAACGATTCTTATAAATAGGTTCACAAGTAGATTTGTAATATTTGAAGATATTTAGTTTTCAAAGCATTAAAGACGTTGGTACGTTGATTATATCGAGATTTAAATCTCTGTATAATTTTTTTTTAAAGTTTAGATGAAAATAACGTAAAATGAACGTGGAATTTTAATTATATAACGCAATTTCTTAGTTATATAATTTCAGTTATACACACAAATTGTGCAATAAATCAGAATTAAAATAGAACCTATTCGATGCATAAATAAAATTATGAGAATTATTTACTTTAAAAATGAAGTTATTGCAATAAGCTAGAGAAGTGTAAAGCAAAAACATCAATTTTATTAGAAATAAAATTTATTTACAAGTATAATAAAAGATTTGTTACGTATAATTGTGTTGAAAACAGAAAATTATAAAAACTTTTATAAAATAAATATTAAGAAAAGTTTTTTGTAATTTTGAACTTTTTTTTGGAATCTTGAAACGATGTACACGGAAGCCAGAGCTATCACTTACAGAATCAATTTTGTCTTATGGCTTCTTCTCTTCCTGTTTATAAAACAGATGTTTCTTGGTTTTCTTGCGTGATCACTTTGTCACGTGATCGTGACAACATCCAACTCGCTTTTTTAAACCGTATAAGAATGCGAAGTATTTTAATGTTTTATTCAAATTTATTATCTTTAAGTCTAACACTATCATTTTCAAAATATATATAAGTTCTTTTTCTCATTAAGAAATGTTCTCTTTCGAGTGCTATTTAATTAGTCAGAATAAAATTTGAAGATAATTATTTAAAATTATTTTTTTTTAAAGAAAACTATGAAATTTATTATATAATTATATTTAAACAATTCGAAAATTTATTATACATATTTTCTTTTCATAATTTACTATTATTAAATTCAAGACGATTAATTTAAAGCAAAAAAACATTAACGTTCAAGGATTTCGAGTTACCGTTAACTTAATAATATTCGCAGTTGTTACTTCTACGGTAACATTCCTAATACTACACGACAAACGTCGTAAGGTCCATGTTGTTGGCCTTGATCTATTTGTCCCGACATCAACTCTTCATGAAACCAACCCTTTTTTTCTGACGCCGTATATCTATATACTGTTTGACAACTTGTTAAGTAAGTTTTTGGATGCTGCATATCGAAAAATAAACTTATTTTTCATGGGAATTTATCAAAAATAATCCAAATCAAGCATTCATTTTCCTGAATTAATTAAAGTGTGTGGGAAACAAAGTTACCGCCTTTATCGCAACCGGGATGCATCACGCACGATCTGATGATTTTTCACTTTCTAAATAATGGAGGCGTCAATGTTTTTTACTTTTCCTAAGCTTGGTTGAGCTTCTTTTAAGCGATCAAATCCTATTTTTCTTTTAATATTTTAAAAATATTTATATTATTGCCGCGGGCAATAACATTACGAGATTGGCACAGATTCAATAAATGCTTTATTGTTGTTTAAGGTCGTAATCCTGCTGTTAATTCTAATTTATATAACTGAATGTCTTTTGTAGGTTATTTTATGAGATGATCAATTTCATTTTATTAATCCTCTCATCGTCATTACTTTACATTATTTCGTTTACAATAACAATACAGGAATTGTCGTCTATTGTGATTTTTTCTGCTTATAATTAAATCTGAAGACATAAAAACTCTTTCAAATAATGATATAAAATTAATTTAAAATGAAGCATTTTTTATTAAAGTACTCTTTACTAAATCATATTAAAAACTATTCGAATTTACTGATTAAAAAATGTAAATGTTAATAGAATTAATACAATTTATACTAATACAATGAAGTTAAAATAAAATAAAACAAAACAAAATTAAAATATGGCTGCATGCAAATTTACGAGGTCACATGCAAGTTTTAACTATAAAAATATATGATTCATTTCTTTATCAGATATTTTATTTATTTTTTTAATAGTCCTATTAAAAGTTTAAGAAATTTAATAATTATTTTTTCAAGTTATAAAATCTGCAACTAAACAGCAGAAGAGGAAAAGTTATTAACGAAAAAATGATGAAGGGTGAAGAAATGTTTAATCAAGTGACGGTACAAAATGGTGAATAAAAACAGATTCCTAAGAGCAACTTGAAACACTAAAACACATTATTTCAATCAGTTTTCTTTTTATTTTAGTCATAAGATCACAGCCATCTGTTCTGCTATAAGATTCGCCCACGCAACCAGATGCAGATGCTGGTTGTGTTGGCGCATCCGCTATCAATACTAATACCAATTTCTGGGATCGAACATAACGGCTTAAACCCAAATAGGTTCTTACGAGATACAAGTAGTCCTTGACCTACGCGTGTTAAAATCCTTAAATATTCCTCCTCTTTCTAGTTAGACAAGATTTTATTTGTTACGAGTAGAGTGCCATCTCTAAATACCTAGAGATGGTGTGGTCAAAGGTCAAACTTGTTGCTATATGTGTGATGTTGGAATGTATCGTTAGCGAAACTTACTTCCGATTGACATGTTTATAAATTCAATTTTACGCTTTTAAATATACTTAATGATACAATCAAAGCCGAACAGTGAATTTATGGATAAGTTTGTTGTAGATTATATTCAAGTATTGTTTTATAAACATTTTATAAATGATTCTTGCAAAAGATTTTACGTTTAATGTTTTAAATTAAAGTTCTAATTTGTTTTCCCGTTTAAATTCACTTAACTTATAGTAATATCTTATTAAAAAACTAAAGTTAGAGTAAGATCTTAAGCTTTTATTTTAGTTAATTAATATGCAAATAACGAAACATATACGCAATTGTGTGTTAAACAGAATCATACCATGGCTTACACATTGTTACGTCCTCATTAATTTACATAGTATATATTTATACACTACAAAGTATAAATTTCTTTTATATAAATTGAAAACATTCGTCTTTAATTCGTCATTTTAAATTTTAATTATTTAAAATAAAAATTAAAAAACTGTTACATCAAAACATAATTTACAAGTGGGAATTCGCTCACTTATTCAAACAATTCGTGACGATTCATCGTTCCCGTTAGTGCTATTTCTATTTACTTATTTTTTCTCAGTGACAGAAAAACTGTCGTGACGATTTTAAGCTATGCATTTTATATATGTAATTTTTAAAACTATATCAGTTTTAGTGCCTAGATGTCCTAGACTCATATTGAAATTCTTCCTAAAATTAAAAATAGGGCGTAATTTTCCGTTTTAAAAATGCCTAAATTTTAGTTTTGATAAATTAAAATTAAATATTTATTATTCAATTAATAAGTTTATAAAATACAATTAAAACTGATAAAATACAGGTTTATATTATTATATCGGAAATCAATTTTAAAATTTTACAATTTGTTACAAAATCCACAAAACTGATATCATAAACGATTTGTTCTTCATGATTTCTATTATTTTTTTTATTGTTTATTTTTTATTTGGAGCGGAGAATTGGTTTTCTTCTAGTTTTATCTTTATTGTTGCAACATTCTTTACTACCGTTTTCTTCTAGGAGCGTGTCATTTATGCGTTCAAGCAGTTAAAAAGTTATAAATAAAAGTGTGGTGCAAGAGTGAACGTTCATTCTTAACTCGTATATACCTACACTTGCCCCATTTTTACCTTCGAATAGCCATTCAGAATATTATCACTTCGTGAAATTATTCTTAAACTGCTGTAATTCTCAGAATATATAAATTAGACTTCGTGTCGCTTTAAAATAAAACACGTTCTTTATTATCAAACAAATCTTATGAGGAAAAGGTAGCAAATTTAAAATTTAATACAAATTTTAAAAATATTTTAATAAAATGTCCTTATTTAAAAAAATAAATTATCGTATTTTTATTATTTCATAAATTTATTTTTAATTTAAAAAGTAATTTTATACAGTTATTTTTCATTCAATCTTTCACATTATTTTGATGTTAGAAGTTTTATAAAAATTAAAATAAAATCGTGAAAATAAGAAATGCGGATAAAAGGAAATAAACGTGACTTTATTTTAACGATGATCTCATTTTGTTTTTATATATTACATGATATTTTAACGACTAAAATAATTTTCGTGGTATTTTTACTGATAATATACTAAAACTGTTGCTTGATACCAGTTGA